ATATTTTTGGCACCTCTTTCTGAGGCAAATCATCACCAATAGTTAGCTAGGAGTTAAATAAATGGCAGCAATCCAGCACGGATACGGTTTATGTAACATTAAAATAGGGTTTCAATATTTTTAAAATCACTTCAAATATTTTATTTTTTTAACCCTGATAAAATAAATTAATTTTTCTAAAAAAAATCCCCATTCAAAGCATTTAAACATTAAATTAGAGTTTTTTGTCGGAATATATTTTTGTCCAGACCTTTTTACCAAGGTCTATGTCCGTTAATCTTTATTTTATAATTACATTAATTTTTTAGAGCGAGCAGGGGAGAGGGGGGTGGGGTGAATAGAGATAATTATTTAGCAAAATTACTTGATTGGGGGAGGGGGGTGGGTGTCTCCTTGGCTACGCCTCTGGGGAAAATATTTTGACATTGCTAGAGGTTACCTTTCGCAACACTTATCATTAATCTACAGTTATAAATTATGATAAGTATTGTATATAAGTGGAAAGTATACATTTTATTAATTATTTTTGCTATAGTAGGTATTATCAGTCTTTTATCCTTTATTATGTTATTGTTCCAAAAAATATTTTCAAGTAACAATGAGTGATATATGATAAATTATACATATTAGAAATTTCATCATTTAATATACATTTATAAGGTATAATATTTAGATATTAAAGCTTTTTATTTTTTTGGCAAACCATCATATAAGATATAATTAATTAATAAAATTACATCAAAATAATTTCAATAGATATAAAAAAAATATTTTTAAACAAACCATTTGTATTTTAGAAAGGAGAAGATAATACTATATAATAATATTGCCCCAAAATTATAATGCGATATAAACTAAGGAAACCAGAAATTTATTAAATTTTTAAGTAATAATTAGTAATAAACAGTGCAGTAGTTCTATGGCACGCTAGTTCGCTAAAAAAAATAGAGGGCACGCAATTGAATTTTAAGATTAAAAAAACTTCTACATTTTTTTTTAAAATTATTTTTCACTAAATTCCCAAAAGGAACGAATCGAAACCTTAATATCAATTTTTGGAAATTTGTTTATTTACTTTTGATTACCAAGATCTATTTTGTATTTTTTTAATTTTTTTAAAATATATTTGTAAAATTTAAGAAAAGCTTTTAAAACCTAAATAAATTTTTTCTACAAATTTTTTTCCCCACAAACTACTAAAATTTAATAAGATCGCTCAAAATGTTACTTTTATAATTATTAAATTTTAACATAAAATTTTATTTATAGAAAAATAATATGATATTATAAATCTTATAGCGTACACATGCTCTACATATTAAGGCGATAATTAAATGTTAGTAAATAGTATACGAATCAAAATTAATACCACTCAACATCTATGAATCAAATTGATCGCTATTACTTAGATTTATTTTTTAGATAAGTCGAAGGTTTAATTTTTGTTTTCATGTTTACTATTATAATCCCCTATTGTTTTGTGTTTAAAGTATTTTTTAGAGTTACATTTTTACTAAACAATAGACGGTTATCCTTCCCTTTTAAATAAAACTCAAATAAACTTTGGGTCCTATGACAAAAATTACTAATGAAACTATTCTTGATATTATGTATAGATCTAAAAATTAGTAAAATGTTAACCCGGTGAGATTTAAAATGCTCGCAAAAAAAATTTTTTCCATATTTTATCATTTGTTTTTATAAAAATATTTTTATTTAATAATAGTAATTAATATGTTAAAATAATATTATATTCAAAAAATTTAAAAGGACTTTCAGGGAAAGGTTAAGCTAAATTTTTCCCACATTTTTAGGGGACATACCCTCCCAACTACACCACAGTAAATGACCTAATTTTTCCCATTTTTAGTAGAGACGAGGCCCGACCGATTCTTAAAATCAATATTTTTGTAACCGGGATGAGGTTGGAAAAAGTATTTTAAAAACCGGGTCGGGCCGGATTAGTAAAAGCAATAGGATAAGTTATAAAATTATTTTTAAAAAACCAAATAAACTTATAACGATTTACAAATACATATAACAAAATTATTCGAATAAAAAGAATCGAATACGAATAAGAAAAATATCTGTAGAATAATTTTTTATCTATTATTCGATCGAATTGGTACAATTTAAAATTATTATAAATAAGTAAATATTCAAAATTATTCATAAATATTTGAAATTATTATTAATCATTTCATGTTCCTTGCAGGATTTTTTACTTTTTTCCCACATATATAAATCACTTATTTAATATTCCATTTTTCAAAATATTTTTAAAGAATTATGTTTTTGAACCGATTCATTATTCGACGAATCAATTCGAATAATGTTTTTATTATTTGATTTGAAAATACGAATAAGGCAAATATTCGATTCATATTTTTATATATATAAGACCAAATTTTACTAATGGCCGTGCCTGAAAATTATATATTTTTAATATGCCTTTTCTGCAGACCTCTGATTATGTTAGACCTACAAGAGATAACCCAAACTGGTTTTCTGAACCTATTTTAAATTTATCCCTGAACCCGAATGTAATTTGTATTTTTTATTTTCCTCATGGGTTTTCATTATTCTCATGAAATAATTATATAAGCCTTGCAATCTACCACGTTCGTCCCTTATTGAGTATATCTCTTTTCATAAGTTTAAGATAGCTGGTGAAATAATAGAGTATATTTTTATTTGTAGATTTAAATTTAAAAAAAACATAACATTTAATAAGTATTAGATAATTTAAAACTCATTGGAATAGATCATTACGCGTTCTACATAAACACAATATAGAAAATGTATTAATCATAAAAATTAAATTTAACACTTACTTTTAATCCTCCACAAACTCACTCCTCTTAAGTCCTAAACCATTTTCCCTAACAAATTTTTTAACCAGAATCGGGAGTAGAACCTTAACCGAGCCAAAATGAAAATGAGTGAAACAAATTGTTAGAGATGCTGTGTCTATTCTAAATATATTTTCATAAAAAATATCATGACAATAAGGCATTTTTGGCTGTAGTATCGATTATTTGATATAGATATATTTTGCGTTATTTATTATATTAAAAATATTTAATTCCATCTTTTATATTAATTTATTAATATTCAAGACAAATTTTATTTTACACTCTGGATAAATCCCAGAAAAAATTCTCAGATTTAATATACTTAAACGCGCTCCTTAGAAGATAATGAACAAGGACACATTTTGCACCCAACAAACTTTATATGATTTTTTTTTAAATGAATCAGAATTTTTTTATATTTGTGAAGATTATCCTAATATTAAGCTGCTATTCCTAAAGTATAGCATAGTACTATCCTCCCTTGCTCGCCTTGGGAAGACATTTTAGTTTGGGTAAAATGTGTTTAAAGATAAACGGGGATACCTCACTAATGAAAACTTTGAGAATATTTTATCATTAAAAGCTAATAATAATATTTTATCAAATAATTATTTATTTTACATGTATTTATAAAATAAATAAAAGGTGTTTGTTTCATTTCAAAATTTAAAAATAGATTCCCATTTTGATACACGATTATAATTTTAAACATTATATCTTAAAAAAATTGTATCTATATTTAAATAAATTATTCATAATATATTGCTAGTGACCCTTTTGACAATGTATCTGTATCTAGATATGAAATCAACTACTGGTTCGAGTCTCTGATAATATTTCTGGAATCCAAAATTCAAATGCTAAAGGCGCTAAACTATTATAAAAGGAATTCTCATTAGCGAAGGTCAACTAAACCCATATCAGACCACTTTATAATCCAAAAGATGTGGTCGGTTGTATTTAGATCGAGTTTAGAAATTTAGATATTTTATCAGCCAAATCTATCCGGTCGATTTTATTTGGTATTTTAACACGACCTGAATGCTGCCTCCACTTTTTGGATTTTTAGGATTGTTGACCGGTCTAAACAGATTCTGGTTAAAAATTAATTATTTTATGCACAACTTTGTAATTTATGTTTTACTTCCTATTTTTTATAAGCTATTGAAGTGTTTTATATTTTTAATGCGACTGTGCAATTTTTTACCGGTCTGATATTTAAAATGATTTTTATTTACCATCTATCTTTAAATCAATATGATAAAAAAAATTATTATTTTTATTTTCTATAAAAAAAAACTAAATTTAAACTACAAGCAAAACAAAAAAACAATGTTTGGTTTCTCATATCTAAGGCGATATTTGACGTATATTATCACGAAAAGTGTATTTTTTTTTATTCCTCAAAAGTGAATCATCTCATTTAATATCGATGGGCAAAGCTTAATGCTAAATGATGCTAAATGTGGCTCGTTCGATACAAATAAAACTAAAAAAGAACAATATCACATTTTTAGCTACTCATTCTTTTATAATGAGTTGATATATTTTAAACATTTGAATTTTGGTTATTTTTCTTTTATTCATTTATTATTAAGGAAATTTAAACGTAAAATTAAAAATAATGGAATTTATGGGGATTCGAAATCTTTCAATTTTATATCTATTACTGAGGGCGATTTTTAAATATCAAAAATCTGATTTGGCGTATAAAGTGCCAACACTGAATTTCAAACAATTTTACCTTTAATTTTTTAATTTACATTTAATTTATCTCATTTTTATACAAATTTTTCGTATAAATTGAAAAAATGCACAAAATTTAATGGCAAAAATTGTCTAAAATTTACAGGTTACACATGCTGGATAGATTTCCGATCAAATCAATTTAAAAATTGCCCTTAATAAATTATATAAAATTGAGATATTCTGAATTCCCTTGGATTTCATATCCCAATATGACATTTACAATCATAAAATAGCCAAAAGCATTGATAATATTGAATTTGTTTTTTTTTGGAAATATCGATCTCATCTTTTCTAAACGGTGAATAAAGTCCCGATTAGATATTTAATATCGACGTAGCCTTAATTTTTGATCATTTCTCTAATTAAAAATTAATTATATTAATGAATTTTATTTAGAGACAAAGATTGGACTTTTCGAGAGGCGTGTTTTGAAATAGCAAGGAGAGAAAAATACGGCTTGCCACATGTAGACATGAACCTAATCCCACCTGAGAGGGTGATTTTGCCGTCCGACGAAGAACTTGGAGATTTTGAAATCATTATTTAATTATATTTTTTGTGAATTCAATAAAGAAATGCATTTTTTTGCCCTAGATTATGTATAATGTTGATATATTTCAAGTCTTTAATAAATTATAATATAAATCTATTTCATTGTGTATTGATGTTTTATTTAACTATCAATCATCATGTTTTGGCATTTTCAAAATATTCTTTTGAGGCCAAGAAAATGACGAAAGGGGTAAATCCTAGAATAGAAAAACAATATTAAATCGAAAAATATCTAATATAAAAATCTAGCTGAGCTCTTTTCAATATTTCTGAGTGATTTACTAATGATTAATAGCAAGCATTATAATAATTAAGTAAGAGTTGCTCTAAAATATTGACGCTTTCTCATCATTTAAAAAATTAATTTTACTCGTTTTTCTTAGAAAACATGTGTTTTTTTATTTTTAAAATATATTAAATAAAATTGGCTAAATTGCCAAAAAGTTACGGTCCAACAAAAGCGTTAGTATTAGAGTTTTTCTCATTTTTAAAAAATAAAAGGCTTTTCAATTTTCAAATTATGCGAAATAACGTGCTTCCATTTGAATCATTTAAAAGATTAAATTCGGAAACTTATCAAATGACTGATTCGTCAACTGCATCAAATTCCTCTATTATTTTTAATTCAAGTAATCACTCAATCGAATCAAATAAGGTAAAAAAAATTTTAATTTAGTTTAAAATTGACTTTTTATTAATTTTTTCGTAATTTATTATTTAAGAAGATATAAAGTTCAAGTGATATAATTTATAAAAACTAATATTTTCTAAATATGATTTATAAATGTTCCCAAATTAGATTTTAAAAAAAAGTTCCAATACTCTCAGCCGCCTAAAATGATAACAGCAGAATTAGGCAAAATACTTATCATAGTATTTAGTTGCAACTATAAAATACTTTCAGAAAAATGAAAGTTCCTTTCGTTAGTTATCTATAATATAAAATTTCATTCAAAATACCTAAAAATTTTAAAATATTTTTGGAAATGTTTGTTTATACAAAAAGAATTATTTTTTATAGAAAACTCTAAAAAAAATAAATATAAATATATGCAGTTCATTATAAAATAAATATACAAATTAGTTCCTTTAGCTAATTTTTAAAAAAATCCATCGCCATCTATTCAGTTTATTAAATTAAAGTTACAACAGAAAGCAATCTATTAAACAAAAGCTGAAGATAGGCGCATTATTAAAACTAATAAATATTTATTTAATTTATGGATTCTTAAAAATGATATATTTCAAAAGATGGATTTCTTAAATATTGTAAAATAGTTATTTCTATTTTAGTATTTGGTTATGATTGTAAGGCTCTTGATTTTTGAAGAAAAATAGTCGTCGTCATTTGACTGTATTGGCTAGAATTTTCTAATTACGAGATAGTGTCACCAAAGAAGATTATTTGGGGCATCTCTTTTTTTAATGTAAATATTAATATTTTTCGAAGGTCCAAATCCCAACTATACTATTTTTAAAAATAGATCCAGACTATCAAAAATCAGCATTTATTTTTTAAGTAACGTTAAAATTATAAGAGCTTGGGGAAAATGATTTATTTTAATGCATACATTTTTTTTCCCAATCGAATCCGGTGGAATAGTCCGTATAGGATCTTATCCTTTACTTCCCCAACATAAGTCACCGTTTCTCATCGTGCAATTATTATCTCGACCCATTCGTCAGCACCTTATTATTAATGGGATCATGTTCAAGCTTTACAATATCTTAATATTACAGACATGCACTTTCCCCCCTCAAGAAAACACTAAAATTATTAAAGAAATATTTCTATTTTATGAAGTGACGTCTTGTAAAAAAAAAATACTGATATCTCCTTATTTTTAAAATAACATTCAAAATACTAATGACATAAAATCATTGTGATTCAAGGCTTAGAAATTTGAATCTTATGTTTACTTTTGAAAAGGTTATTTGTTTTAGTTATTTTTTGTTTATATTCTATTTATAGTATTACATCAAATATAGCAATTCTAATCCAAAAGCTTTCACACCCTGTGTCAGATTTTCATATTTTAAATATTAAGGTTGCATTGGTAAACAAGCACCTTTTTTGGATAGTCAAAAATTGGCGTGAATCTATGAAATTAAATATAAACAACTTTACCTTCATTTGCCAAATTTTTAAATAAATATACATTTTTATCTTGGTTCTTTTTTAGTTTAAAAATTTGCTTTTTCCAAAAAATGTTTTTGTTTTGCTTTAAATTGTCCAAAAAAAATCGCATTTGGTTCGAGGCCTAGTTGCAATTTTGACATCCTAGTTTAAAAAAAATTACTTGCAACCTAAACTTAAGTGATCACCTTGTGGTTTCCTTTATAAATATATTTTGCGAATTCAAATCGATTTCCAAATAATTTGTGTAAAAAAATAATGCTTTTATTTACAGGACATAAGCCCTCTAGCACATCCCACATCATATCACATTCAGGAACTTTACAAAAAATACACAGATCTAGACGAAAAAAAGATTGATCCGATCAACAATAATAAATATAGAGGTTATTATAAAAACTTCCAAACCAATGTAAATGGAGATAATTGCTATGTGCTACCTCATTTAGAAGAAGAGATCAATTTTTCTGACATGATTACCTATGATTTCAATTCAAAATCCGAATTGGAAAGAGAAAAATATACAAAGAATGGCAAAGATCAAGGATTTTATGTAAAAAAAATATTGATATTATAATAAAATATAACCTAATTTTAGATCGAAAAGTTCGATAGAGAATTGGACATGATCGAAGATCTCATAAAAACCGATTATGAAATCAAGTGTTTTCCGGGTGATGATATCTCGAATAATGTAATTTCATTAATAAAAAAAATTTCATTTTTTTATTAAAATCCCTGTTAGTTTCAAAGTTCTGCATCTTGCCCTGATTATATCTTAACAAAAAATTCTGATTGCAGTGAAAAATACCGGCATTATGACAATATAAATTATGGCGGCAAGGACAGGGTAAAGAAAAACAATCACAATCGAGGTTTTTTTTAAATATTTATATTATATAAACCTTATTCACTCATTTAAAAAATAGTTGAAAGAGCTAGAAGAGACAATATTAATTACCGAATCAAAGAGCTCGCCTCTTTATTGCCTACCAGTATTTTGGCGTAAGTTTTAATTGACAAATAAATGATTTTATTCGCCATATTACATATTATATAGGGATATTAAACATAATAAAGGCACTATTTTAAAGGCTTCCGTTAATTACATCAAAGAATGTCAGAATTATGAGGAAAAAATTAAAAGTTTAGAAGAGAGACAAAAAGGTTTAGAACAATTGTGCACTAATTTGCTGAAGAAACTACAAGTTATTACAATTTTTTAAAATAATATCTCATATGTTTTTAGGTTATAGAAAAGGGTCAGTTTCCATTACCAGAATAAAATTCATAGTAACAGACCATTCCATGAATTAAAGAATATTTGATTTTTAATCCATAATTAATCATGATAAAATACGGGTATAAATTTGATGAGCCTTATTTAAATACAATCATTTGTTATATATTATAATTTAGTTTTTAAATAAATGTATATAAAATCATTTATAATAATATTTATGCCTTAAATATTAAACTTTTGAGTATTTCAATGATCAATTCAATAAATTATAATTCATTAATCATTTTTATACATGCTATATATAATTTTATATTGAAAATTAAAAAAAAAATTGTCAAATATTTATTGCCCAAAGTTTAGTTAGCGTTAACAAAGGGTGCCGATCTTTTCCATCTTTTAATATTTTATAAGGGCAGACGAGGCCAGTTAAAATGTGGAGCTTGGCAAACCACGGGATTCCATTAAAATTAAAGAAGCACAGATATTTAAATCTTGTCCTAATATATATTTTAGTAGTATGCAACTATAGACAAAAAATATCTTGAAATAAATGACTATTAAAAATTTTATGAGAAATAATATTTTGATATCAAATTTGAAAAATTTCTAGAGGTCAAGATTATATTTTATATTTTATATTAAAAAATTAAAATATTAATATATAATTTAAATGGGCTAGATTTTAAAAAAGGTCTTCAATCAGGTTTTTTTGTCAGGATGTTAAAATTTTTTAATGCTAAATATTTTAATTTTCGATTTCTAGTATCTTTTTTTATACCGGGTGCCTCAAAAAATGTAAAATCTTTATAATTTTAAACCCGCCAATCGTTTTTTTTAGATTTTATATTCTATAAAGAATATATGGAATACAATATTCTAAAATCTAAATTAATTAGAACTTCATTTTTTAGGGAATTGATAAAAAATGCTAAAATTTAACAAAAAATAACGACCCTTGAAAAAAAATTTTTTTAAAGAGGCTATATATAATGCATAATCGGATATAAATTTTCCCTAAGTCCAATTAAGCTTAGCCTGAAAATCGGCTGAATCTAATTAGCCTTAACTGAAAAATAAGACTAATTAGTCATGGCTAAGGAGTTCGGCCATTCGTTCGTCAGCGTTACGTAAGATAAACCTAGCCTTAAGTATTTATTTATATTTAATAAAATTATTTATATATCGTTATTTTATTTAGATTTATTATGTAACGCTAATGGACGATTAGCCGAGCTCCTTGGCCAATGCCTAATTAGTTGTCGACGATTTTTCGGCTACTCCTAATTAGGTTTAGCCCTATTTTTAGGCTTAATTAGGTTTAGCCGATAAGCTTAGCGATTTATTTACCTAAAAACTTGGCCAAGCCGTTTTGTAATCGGCTAAAATTAACCAATTACACAACACTAGCTATATGGGTACTCAGGTTCGCCTTAAAAAATTCTAATTATAACAAAATATTTAGGTTATCAAACATCAGATTAAAAAACATGTTTTATTACCCACAACAAGCAAAATCAGACGATAATTCTGTAAGTTAAAAATGCTATCAAAATATGATTTTATACTGATAAAATTATGTAATGAGAAATAAAATGAAATTCATCAAGTTAGATTCCTAAATTCCCTAAGAACAGGGGGACATTTTTTTAACTTGTTGAAAATATTGGGATATGAATTTTTAACTTATTTAAATGCTTATTCGTTTATTTTATTTCCAATTTCAAATAATCGCAAATTTAGAAAATATATATATATTTAAAAAAATATAAAACTTATATAATAAAAATAAATATGTTTTAAAAAAAATATATATATAATTTATAAAAAAACATTTTTAAAGGAATGTCACTATTGCTTATAAAATTGGATCGGCAGGAAATATGCTATGCCTACGAAGGTAGAATCCTTCGTTAGGGCCACTTGTAACGAGCTTCCTTTTTTGCCTGTTGAGCTCCCTTTCCGAATATCCCTAAGATGAATAAACTGGGCTTGTGAAGCCAGCATAACAACTTCTGCCTTTTCGATGACAGAATAAAAGGTTAGACATCGCTGCAAAATCAATCCACGTGTAGTCCCAGGTCAGTGGGAGAATGAACACAAATGTAGTTTTTCTTTGGCACTAAATAAAAAATACTCTTAATTTTAAAATAAAGAAGAAAATTTTAAAAGTTATTAGATATTACATGATTTCATATTAGCTGAATGATAAACTGTAAAATGCTGATTTATTTTTTAAAGCCTGGGCCAAATTTTCATAAATAATACAGGCCAGAACCTGGACCGAGCTGAATACTTTTAAATAATTCAGCCCACCAGGCCGAAATTTCTTTACAGGGCCATGCCATTGCTATTTCTACTGGACTCTGATAAATATAATTGCCAAGCATTTATTATTAATATAGGTGGCTCAAAAAAAAACAAAATATGATATTTTGATAACTAAAGAGGTTGTCCTGATTCATTTCTTTTATGCTGCTTTTAATATGCAAAAAGCTTTTTGTTTTCAAACTGATTTCTATTTTTATCATTTCGTATATACTAAAAAAAGATTATTTTTAAATTTATAAAGATTATATTAAATTAATGCTCAATTATTTTGCTGTGGATATTGGGAATTATGACAAAACTAAATAACAATAAATAAAAATATGAACAATTGTACCCTCCATGTCAATTGTGTACAGCCTATCGAATCGACCAACCATCCCTTGCACTGCAAGTTCTCCCGCGGACGTCAATGCCATAAATTTTCTCCTAGCTGCTCTCAAAAAAGTTAATATTCCAACCACTCTTAAACCAGTGGGTCTTTCAAATGATTACGACAATTGCGTATCCCCCTGATAAACGGCAAATAAATACATTTTATTTTTCAATGTTTGATCCTCATAAATTTATTTTTCTGCTTCTCTCTAACAATTTCGCTTTAAAAATATAAAAATAATGATAATCGTCAAAACTTTAAAAAAAATTATTCCAATTGCGATCAGATATTAGTCCAATCTTTTTCTTAAAATGGTCCAGTCTAAGATCTTCATTAAACCCAAACATGGTTAGGCCTACAAAAGAATCCAATAATTATTCGATTTTTTTTTAAAGTTTATAAAAAAATAAATTATATCTTGAAAAAAAAATTATGAACAGATGTGGATGTTTTAAAATGACACCTTTAAGAATTCTATTAAACCATTTGTCATTAGTGTATCAAGATTTGTAGAAAATAACAAGCGAAATAAAACCCAAAGATTTCATAACCTTATCCAACATATATATATAATATAAATTAATTAATTAAATTACTTCTTATGAAGATTAAAATAAAATAAATTATCTTAGTAAAATTTAAGAATTACTTTATATTTTTATGTCATTGATTTTTACTTACTTACGAATACTAATGAAAAAATAAAATATTTCCTAAAAATTACGAATAAATAATTAAAATTTACTATACGACGAATATTTTCTCATTATTCATATTCGATTAGAACAATTGTGCTATTCGTATTCTTAAAATACCAATCAAATAATTCATTTTAGGCCTAAATAATACACAATTTTTATTTTTATTCTAGGGCAAGGTTCTCCCATTATATAATTTCAAGTTGATACATTAGCATGGACTTTAGTTTTTTTGTTTATGTGAAATTGCTGCATTTGTATCTATATGGAATAATATGACTAAGCCAGGAAACCGAGCCTTTAAACTGGTATAACCATTATTTTTATCAAACTTGAACCCAACATGAGCTATTAAATCATTTTCTATCAACCTGAACTACTAAAAATGCTTGCGAACAGTTTGAAACTCATGATTTTATGCTTATAAAATAAAGTGAAAGTTATTACTAGTATATTGCAAAAATTCTAATATTCAAATTGTTTTAAAAATTATTATTCAATTTTGATTGATAAGTATCAGTCACATTTTTTATATATTTTTGTATATTACCATTTTACAACGTTTTATAAATAATTTCGTTTTTTATATTTATTTCTAAAAAGATTATTAAACCAGTTTTTAGATTGAACTAAACAGATATTATGTTTTATGAACAGAACCTGAAGTGTTAATTTTATAAGAAACTAAACCAATATTAGCTTTGATTTGGATCCCTGATTTGTTGACATTGCATATGAGAAATACGCGCCCCCTATGAAAGAAGCTTAATTTATATTATATTAATTAGCTTCATAGGATGAGTTAGAAAATGTTTTTTTTTATTTAAAAAAAAATTTTTTTTACATGACTAAACTACGCGCCCCCTATTAAAGAAGCTTAATATAAAAAATAAACACAGAATCATATAGAGCTTATTAAAAGGTAAAAAAAATGTTAATATTATATTTAAAAAATTTTTTAAAAAAAATGAATAATATCATTTTCTGAATCTCCTTGAAAAGTTATACATGATTCTGTATTCATTTTTTAAAAATAATGTAGAATTACTGGGAGCGCATAGTTTAGTCAAAAAAAGAAAAAATTAAGTGTTTATTTAAAATCTCAATAAGTTATAAATAATTTATAAACTTAATAAATATTTTTTGATTCCTTATAAGCTTAATAGGATTAAGCTTTAATTTTTTATGAATTAAGCTTCTTTGATAGGGGGTGAGTATTTTGTCAAAAAATAATTCTGTTTTTTCAAAAGCCCACTAGCAGGGATTCGAACCGAACCCGAACCCGGAGAAGTGAACCCGGGTTTTTAGAAAAAAACTCTGAACCCGAACCGAACCTGAACCCCATTTATAAAATTTCCAAAACCCCGAACCGAACCCAAGAATTTTATTTGAACCCGGGTTCAATCGGGTTCAGTGTATTATTTAAAATCATATATTAATATATGTAAATACAAATATTATATTTTCAAATTTCCAATTAAATGAAGTCTTAATAAATTTTAAACAATTTAATTCATTTATGCCATTTTTAAATTTATTCTCGATTCCTATTGGAGTGTTAAAAAATTTTAAACAATTGAATTAATTTACGCCATTTATTTTTAAATTTTTATCTTATTATTCTTAAAGATTATTAATTAGAAGAAAATGGTTAACAAATCAAAGTAAAAATTATTATATTGTTAATTTAAAAAATTCTAAACATCTAACTTAAAAATTGTTAAATGTAGGGCAGTTTTTGTGAACTTATTAAAATGATTTTAAAATTTATATATGCTAATCATTTATTTTTGGTTCAGTTTAATTTTTACAAGATATTAATGAAGTGCATATTATAAATGAAATTAAATTTATAAATATCTCTTTTTTAATTCTGAAATCATTGCTATTTAAAAAAATTGTTCTCTTTTTATAGATTTAAGATTAAAGATAAAGTCATATTTGATAAGCATTTTACCCTTAATAAAATAGAAAAAAAATCAATATGTTCATATTGCAAAGTAAAAATGTCTGGTAATCACTTGTCAAATTTAGAAAGACACCTGGAAAGAAATCACAACAATGAATATTTAAATTATTTAAATGAAAAAACCAAATATCAGGAATTGTTATTGGCAAAAAAACCTAAAATTAATATAGAAACCTTTTTTCCAAAAAAGCATATGAGTATAAATATATCATCTAATGATTTGATGAGTTCTATATTAGAACTTGTTACTGTAAATGGCCGGCCTTTATCAATTATTGAAGATTCGGGATTTCAAAGAATTATAAATCCACTTTTATCTGGGCTCAATTTAGTTATAAACAAAGAAAATTTATCCAGAACTATTAATAAAACAGCCCAATCAATTAGAGACAAAATATCGAGAGAGGTAGAAGGAAAATTAATAAGTTTAAAAGTTGATGCAGTTCAACGACTAGATAGGTCAATTCTTGGTGTAAATATTCAATTTATATCAAAGTCCATTATAAATTTGAGGCTCTTGGAATTGTAGAGCTGAAAGAGAGATGTACAGGAGAATATATAAAAGAGAATATATTAAAAACTTTACTAAAATTTAAAATTAATATTCAACAAATATACACAATTACTTCTGATAATGGTTGTAATTTTTTAAGAGCTATAAAGCTCCTGCAACCTGAAACTGATTATGATATAAGGAGTGAATCAGCAGATGAGGAAAATATGGATGTAAATGTATATAAATATGATATTGATGATATACAAAATACTTTTTTATCAACTATTATATCCTATCCGATTTATAGTGTACGGTGTGCACACACTTCAGCTGGCACTTCAAGATGCTATAAAATTATCACCTATTGTGGAAACCATTGCAAAAGCTAGGAGCCTAAATTTAAAATTAAGACATCCCACTTACCAAAAGTTATTAAAAAATATGAAACTCCCTAAGCCTGTGTTAGATTGCCACAGATGGCATTCAACCCATGATATGTTAGAAAGGCTGATTTTACTAAAACCCAATATCGAAGATTTTTTTACAGAGCAATCTGATTATTTATTGACTGAAGATTGGAAAGAGATAATAACGATTGTTGAAATTTTAAAACCGCTAAAAATCGCAACCAAACAATTCCAATCTGAACAGTTAACACTGACAGATTTTTATGCAGCAAGATGCTGCATCGAACTGGAAAAAAATCCAAACCATTTTGCTCAATTACTATATTCTTGTCTTAAAAACAGAGAAGAAAGGTTTATAAAGAACGAAATTCTCTTAGCTGCCATATACCTGGGCCCAAGATACAAGGTTAATTAAAAGCTTAGTAAATTAATTATTTTAGATTTATATTAAAATTGTTATTTTATGAAATATTTAAATATAAACAATATAAATCCTTAAATATTACAGGTATTACTTAGTGATGATGATAAGATTTGTGCGAAAAAACATCTTGTCAATTTATGGAGACGAATTAAAAGCTTAACAACGCCAATTTTATCTGATGATATTAGTTCCGATGAAGTTATTGAACAAGAAGATGATTTAGAGAAATTGATATAACTTAAAGAAAGGCAGGAGAAAATATTTAAAAGAGGGCCAACGATTGCTGAGAAAAGTATTGGAACAATAATTACTGGATTTAGCGATTATATAAGATTAGATAAGAAGGAAAATATTTTGCATTTTTGGGAGTCTGCTAAGCTGGAACACCCTGAATTATATATTTTATCTAAAATCTTATTTGCTGTTCCTGCAACCCAAGTTAATTTTTCATATTTTCACATATAAATACATTTAACATAGGTTAGCGTTGAAAGATCTTTTTCACATTTGAAATTCATTCTTTCACCACATAGATCGAGGATGAGTGAACAACTCTTGGAAGATATTATGCTAATACGTCTAAATAAAATTTTTAAAATTGATACATGACTATATGCTTTGTATTTTTAACTATATTGGCCTATAAATAAAATAAAAAATTTATTTTTTATATCAAATTTATGTCTAGTTTTTTATTATGATTTAAATATAGAATTTTTTTTATCAACTCAAAAATTCTTGAACCCGAACCAAACCCGGGTTCAAAAATATTTCCCTGAACCGAACCCGAACTTTTTTTTTATACCCCGAACCGAACCCGGTCTAAAATTTTGTCGGGTTCGCATCCCTGCCCACTAGGTTATAAAAAGTTTTAAAATATATTAACATTTTTTGATTCCTTTTAATAAGCTATATATGATCTGCGTTCATTTTTTATAAATTAAGTTTCATTGATAGGGCGCGTTCGCGTATGGGGGAGCGTAGTTTAGTCATGTAAAAATAAAAAAAATTTAATTTTATTATGTTACCATTTTTTTTTAATTTTTAAATAAAAAAAAAATTTTCTAACTCATCCTATGAAGCATTAATATAATTTAAATTAAGCTTCTTTCATAGGGGGCACGTAGGGGCGTGTAGTTTTCAGGGGTGCATATTTTAGTCATGCCCAGATAATAAATTAAAATTATAATTGACATCATAGGTGATTCCACTAAAAATTAAATATAATTTTGATGTTTGTAATGAATAATCGATTAATTGTATTTTAGATTATATATATAACAATCTATTAATATAATTGATAATTGAATAGTATTGTTCTTGACATTATTTTAGATCAATAATATAATATCATTCATTCAAGTTTCACTATATCATTTTTATAGAATTTATATATATGACAAAAAATTTAAATAGAAATTTTTTGATATAATTGTTTATGAAATTATATTTTTATTTTAAAGTGTTTTAAATTTAGTGTTAGAAATATAAACAATTTTTTAAAAAAAAATTTTTAACAAAATAATCTCTTTTAAACATTCAATGTTAAGCAATTTTTATTTTACTTTCTTAAAGGTTTTCACTTTTTTTTAAATCTCAAGGATCTGTGAGACTTTTGTAACTAGCTTAGTGTTCAGTCTACCTATGACTTTGGTTATTTAATAATGACACATTTATAATAAATTACATGTTAATGACTATTATTGTCAGATATATTTATTTTAGTTTATTGTTAAATATATACATTTTGTGTATTTGTGTTTTTTGATATGTAAATAAAATATGTAACCTACTACATAAAGATAATAATAATAAATTTAAACCCAAATAAAATCCCATTTTAATTGTTCTATAAGAGTAAATGAAGACTATTTTAGATAAATTCTTTATTTTTCGTATAATATAAGATTTTTGTTTTGCATAACGTTTGATAAGTGTGTGAAGTTTGCATGTTGTTATATGACAACATTGAGAATTGCAATAATATAGAGATTTGTTTCTAAGTTTCCAGATTGTAAAAACATGACTTTTGGAAGTATTCAAATTTAAGAAATTGATTGCCTTAATAAATTTGAATTTTTTAAAATTATTGTCTATTTTATTATTAAGATGAAAAGCTGATTTTATCTATAACTAAAAATAAAATAAATATTAAAATTTATAATGTACTTGATTTAAATATCTCAAAATTTTTGAATTTTTGTGTATATTTTTGATCTTTTTAACTATGCTGAATAATATTCCATATTCGCGAATTATTAATATATTAATAGAATTAATTAATTTAACAAAATTTTGATATTTATTACAGATAATCTTGCCACTCATAAATAATTTGTTAATAGTCCATACGCAAAATGTAGAAAATTAACATAACTCAATTAATATATTTTAAGAACGCCTTTATTTAACAGCAATAAATGGTGTAATATACGTGATACGTGATACGTGATATATGCATTCGCCCTCTAACGTTGAATACACAACAGAGCAACGCTTTCCTCATTTCCATCTAATTGGAATTTATTAATTTGGGGGAGAAAAAAAATATGAGGAGCCCTCCACACGTTTGTGGGCAAGCCGCACGTACTTGTACGCACAACATTTCTAAGAAATGTTATTAAAACGTCTATAGGCTTAGAGGAAAGAGCGGGACCAAAAAATAGTTTATACCCAAGAACTGATTTTAAAATTAATTACTTTAAAGGTGGGAGGTGGATAATTTAAATTAAAAGGTTTTACTGTAAGTTTATTTATTTTAGAGGTAAAAAAGAAAAATACTTTCGAGAGGAATAAATCCACATGAGAAATCGAAGAAGAAAAGTAAGAAAAAGGTATGTAAACGAGAGATCCCTAGGAACAATTTTCATCTGAAATATCTATCTTTGATGCGAAAGAGTTTTCTGATAGACCTTTTGCAATTATTAAGCTTTATAAATTGTTTCTTGTTTACATTCAGCTCCATAACGATTTATATTTAGTATACTGTTTCCCTTTATGTGTATATAACCAAACGATAGCATCATGTGCAAGGTTGTGATCTGAATTCCTTATTATATGGGCTAGGAACTGTATCCGACGTTTTTTTAACGTAATATTTATCGGAGTGTGGCTAGATTTCCTCCAGAGGTTAGAGTTAGAGATGACTCTGGGATAAAAAATACCATTTATAGTTCTCAGACAATTATTTATAAAGGATTGAATGCATCTTAAGTCAGTCTTGTTAACTTCCCATATGTCACTTCCGTATAATAAAATGGGGATAATAGTAGAGTTGAATAGCCTCAACCTCGTAAAAACCGATATTTCCTTAGACTTCCAGATTTTCATGTACATATAGAACGCTCTTTTGGCTTTTTGCGTTCTAATCTTCATTTCCTCTTTGCATTCCCCCTTGTTATTGAGCATCACACCCAGCTATTTGATATTATCTACTTTTTTGATAACGTTCCCGCCTACCAAAAGATTTTGGAGCGGTGGTGTATTTGGCGAGGAAAGAATAACCGTTTTATTGAAATTAATTTTTAAACCAACTCTGAGGCTTATGGTTTCGATAAGGTAAATCAGACTTACAGTCTCTTCAATATTTTTTGATATTACAACAATATCGTCGGCATACGAAACGATCTTATTAACAAAGTGAAAATTTTCATTAGACCCAAAGTCAGCCAAGTCTGCAGCAGCATTTACCTCCTTTATGACTTTATCTATTATGATGTTAAAGAGAAGCGGTGATAAAGTGCAACCTTGTTTTACTCCCTTTTTTATCTTGAAGGAGGGTGATATTTTATCGTTTGTTTTAAAACATGAAGTTAATTTGGAATAATGATTCCTTAAGATGGAGATAATATTTTGTTCGATACCGCACTCTGATAGTGCTACCCATAAGGCGTTATGGTCTACATTATCAAAGGCCCTACTAAAATCAATAAAAGTGTAATAAGACGGAATCCTGTATTTCCAGCACTTTTGCATTAGGTTCCAAAATGTTTTTATTTGGCTTATATGCGCAGATATATTTAGAAAGAAGATGGGGTGTAGAAGTTAAGATCCTGTTCTTGATGAGTGTCATAAAGACTTTCGATACACAGGAGGTCAGAACTACTGCCCGATAGTCCACGAATTTCTTAGGTTCCTTGATTTTCGGGAAGTTGCACAGGAGAGATTTATTCCATTCTGTCGGAGTTTTCCCATTTTCCCAAATTTTATTAAAGAGAGCAAGGAGAAAAGAAGAGATTATGTTCTAGGATATTTTTAAATATTCAGCAGTAATGTTATCCAAACCCGGAGCTCTATTGTTCCGTAGTTTCTTTACAATGTTTGAAATTTCATTTGAAGAGAAACCAGCCAGGGATATAATTGTATGAGAATTCATAGTAGTTAAAGGAGTAGCCTTGCGGGAGTCGGAAATCGACATATAATGATCCAGCCATAGTGCCATTTGCTCATCTTGGTCTGTTATGGTTTTCCCATTCGCTAAGACAATCGTAGGGAGTTTCACGAAGCAACTGGATTTGCAGAAGCACTTTAAATGCATCGTAGATCCTGTTCTCTTTCATATCTTTATCAATGTCAGCCGCCCTTTTAGCTAAAAAATTCTCCTATCTTTCCGTAGTAATCTTTTAATGTCTTTCCATAAATCAATGTTAGAGCTGTTCGTCATTCTTAGTTGATATATCTTCTCAAGAGTTTCATCAGACATCCATTCTTTCCTAGATACAAGATTTACGTTTGGCAGTCTCTCATAAGATTCCGCTAGTTCTTTCTTAAAAAGATCCCAACAATTTTCAACGTTTCCATTTCTGGTAACATTAATAAAGGTTCCTTTTTTCGAAATAAGGGATTGTTCAAAGAGAGTTTTGTTTCCTTGCAATAGAAACTTATTTGATTTACGTGGAAAAATTATATTGGACGAGGTAACATTGATGGCCATTAAGTTAGGAATACTATTATTATGATATCCCCAGATGTTTTTTATTTTTATAACTGCAATAACCATCTTATGATCAGATATGTTGACCCTGGTAGATGCTTTAACATCCACAAACCAACTATGAATATTAGAAATAAAAAAGTCAATTTGAGATATCTGCCTGCCCCTCATAAAGTTATATTTGTTGATATCACGATGGCAGAAAAAAGCATTTTCTACCTTAAAGTTTTTGTTACTGTAGTAATCTAGGAATTTTATGCTGTCTACATCATTAGATTGTTGAATGGCAGCTTGCCCAATAACTCCTCTACTTATATATTCACTGTCTTTACCTATTTTGAAATCACCCAGGATTATTACGTTATATCTATTTGAGAGAGAGTTTAATATATTTATCATTTCGTCCAAAAAAAATTTCCTCATGTTCCTATTAGGTGGGGCATAAAAATTCACAACAATAGTGGGTCTAAACTTGGTATTCAGATATAGAAGTCCACACCTCTCCGACACGGGTACAAATTTTATAATGTATTTATGTAAACGTTTCTTAGTCAAAAAGGCGATTCCGGCCCAACTATTTGAAGTGGTTCCCGAACAAAACATCTTATATACACTAAAATTTGCCGTACTGTTACCTGGGCAATGAGTTTCCTGGATGCCTATTAAATCTACTTCTTCTGCTTCCAACAATCTTAAAAGAACCGCCAATTTATTATTTAGTCCATTTATATTTAATGAAGCTATTTGTAACTTTCCTGCTAATAATTCCTCCATAACAGTGTACTGGTTTGAATCCAAAAGTGTATTAACACAATTAGGAAATTATAAGTGCAGAATCAAATAATAATATAATAGACAAAGAAGGTAATGAAACTTTTTTGAAATTTAAAATTACAGGAAAAAATTAGGTTATTTTATTTTTTTATTCAACACGCTTGTTTTTTTTTCTTTAACAAACAAATATTAAAAAAAAGTAATTTTTTTTACGTATTTTAATAAAAATTTTTACGTATTTTTTTTATCTAATGGAAAAAATAGTAATTTTAAAATTGATTCTTATTTAATATATTTTTATTTAATAGAAATTAAGATATAATTTAGAACTAAAAGATTTTTCTACTTTAAAACAGTTTGTGAGTAATTATGAGAAGAAAACCTTATCAAATTATTATATTTTTTTCTACTTTAAAACAGTTTGTGAGTAATTATGAGAAGAATACCTTTTCAAATTATTATATTTAAAACATTTATATTCCAATTGTTAAAATTTTTTATAGATGTTGAGGAATTTAACAATATTCCCAAACAATAGGGTCAATTAATGGGATTAATTGAATGTCTTATTTAATCATGAATTAGGTTTTTATTATAATCTTTTGATACTATTAAAAATGTAATATTTCATTATATAAATTAACCTTCATGCAATTTTGTCATATAATGTTAATAAAGTAAAACAACCTATATATCCTGGTACACCAGACTTGTTATGCTTTTCATATTTATATAGATGCATGGCCTAAGCTTAATGTTTTAAGATTTATAAATACAATATTTTATTTTAATCGTAAGGTGAATGTAATATCAAAATTTACTAAATAATATTTATTCAGTTTGATATTTTATATATAAAAGTAAAATATTTTTGTAGGCTTATTAAGACATGGTGACAGATTTCTTAAACAAATCCCAAATATGCTATTATTTTTTTACATAACATAAAAATAAATTGGCTGAAAGATACTAAAATAAATTGCAAGGGACTTGTGAAAAACATCAACATCAATGTCTACAGCTTATTCTTATGTCATTGAAAATTTAGGAAAGGCTTCAAATTTTGATCTCTTCAATAAATTGTTTCAAATAATTCTTAATATTATAACTTTGCTAATTATGTTACTCCTAATATTTCTATTTATAGGATTTACACAATCTGTTTTATACTTTGTTTAAATCATTCAAACCGGGAATGACTAAAATACGCGTCCCCGAAAACTACGCGTCCCTACGCGTCCCCGGTCAAAACGACTTATTTTTATTAATATTAATAGGAAATCTTATTAAGCTTTATAAGATGAGTTAGAAAATGTTTTTTTTAATTTAAAAAAAATACGGTAACTATATAAAATTTACAAAAATTTATTTTTTTAAAAAATAAACTACGCGTCCCCGGTCAAAATACAGTTTTTTTAAAAAAATCAAAACGGATTCATATTTAGCTCATTAAAAGAATACAGAATATGTAAATATTATATTTTAAACTATTTTATAACTTAGTGATTTTTTCAAAAAAACACTTTTTTTTTCAAAAACACTACGCGTCCCCGGTCAAAAAACCGTTTTTTTAAAAAAATAAAAGCAGATTCATGTTTAGCTTTTTAAGGAGATTCAGAAAATGGTATTAATAAAAAAAAATTTAAAAAAATTAAAAAAAATTTTTTTTGGCTAAACTACGCGTCCCTACGCGTCCCCGGTCAAAATACAGTTTTTTTTAAAAAATCAAAACAGATTCATATTTAGCTCATTAAAAGAATACAGAATATGTAAATATTATATTTTAAACTATTTTATAACTTAGTGATTTTTTCAAAAAACACTTCTTTTTTTCAAAAACACTACGCGTCCCCGGTCAAAAAACCGTTTTTTTTAAAAAATAAAAGCAGATTCATGTTTAGCTTTTTAAGGAGATTCAGAAAATGGTATTAATAAAAAAAAATTTAAAATTTTTGGCTAAATTACGCGTCCCTACGCGTCCCCGGTCAAAATACAGTTTTTTTTAAAAAATCAAAACAGATTCATATTTAGCTCATTAAAAGAATACAGAATATGTAAATATTATATTTTAAACTATTTAATAACTTAGTGATTTTTTGAAAAAACACTTTTTTTCGAAAACACTACGCGTCCCCGGTCAAAAAATTGTTTTTTTTTTAAAATAAAAGCAGATTCATGTTTAGCTTTTCAAGGAGATTCAGAATAATTTTGGTAGTTGAGAATTCAAATAAAATATTTAAAAAAGCCAATGTCTAGCCCATATTTAAAATTAAAAAATTTTCAAGGATATCTATTTTAAATTTTACCCAAGTTGATTTCTATCATAAATGTAAATTATGATATTTCTAATACCCTTACATTGCAACATTTTTACCTCTTTTTCTCCTAAATATTAATATTTTTATGAAATATATTAATAAAGCATATTTAGTATCGTATACACCTATAATTAGTAATTACCCATCAACCCCGTCATTCTGATTAAATTAAATTTATTTTATAAAAAAAAATTTTTAATATATATATACAAATATATCAAATTATAAAATTGACGGGGGCTCAATGGTTAGAACGTATGCCTTCCGAACGATAAGTTGCGAGTTCGAATCCCGTTTTGCCATAAAAAATTTTTAAAAAAAATTTTTAACATTAGCGAGATAATAATAGCTCTCGATTTATTTAACATTAAGATGATAGGAAAGTTGATAGAAAAAAAAATTTTAACATTAGGAGATAGGAAAGTGAAATTAACGTTAAGAAGATATCAAAGTTGATAGAAAAAAATTAACATTACCAAGATACGAAAACGTTCATTTCTTGATTACATTTATAGATAGATAGATATACATATTAAATCAATGTGTTAAAAAGCTAAAAAATCAAACAAAGTTGAGTGTTCTAAATCTGATTGATGAATGAAAATATTATAATTATAATTTATTTTTCATTTATGTTAGTAATAAGTTTTTTAAAATAACTTTCTATTCTTACATTAATAGTTAAAATTTATCATTTTATATGTTTTGTATATGGGAGACTGGGGTTAGTACCCCGGGCTTGGCAAACCACTTAATCTCATTTCAAAATTAAATATCCTAATATAGTTTTTATTAGTTTACATCTATAGACAAAAAATCTTTTGAAATATTTTATTTAAGAAATAAAATTTTGATGAAATTTTCAAAAAATTTTTACATACAACTTTGATATCTTCTTAACGTTAATTTCACTTTCCTATCTCCTAATGTTAAAATTTTTTTTTCTATCAACTTTCCTATCATCTTAATGTTAAATAAATCGAGAGCTATTATTATCTCGCTAATGTTTAAATTTTTTTTTTAAATTTTTATGGCAACACGGGATTCGAACTCGCAACTTATCGTTCGGAAGGCATACGTTCTAACCATTGAGCCCCCGTCAATTTTATAATTTGATATATTTGTATATATATATATTAAATTTTTTTTTTATAAAATTAATTTAATTTAATCAGAATGACGGGGTTGATGGGTAATTACTAATTAGTTAGGTGTATACGATACTAAATATGCTTTATTAATATATTTCATAAAAATATTAATATTTAGGAGAAAAAGAGGTAAAAATGTTGCAATGTAAGGGTATTAGAAATATCATAATTTACATTTATGATAGAAATCAACTTGGGTAAAATTTAAAATAGATATCCTTGAAAATTTTTTAATTTTAAATATGGGCTAGACATTGGCTTTTTTAAATATTTTATTTGAATTCTCAACTACCAAAATTATTCTGAATCTCCTTGAAAAGCTAAACATGAATCTGCTTTTATTTTAAAAAAAAACGGTTTTTTGACCTAAGACGCGTAGTGTTTTTGAAAAAAAAAGTGTTTTTTGAAAAAATCACTAAGTTATAAAATAGTTTAAAATATAATATTTACATATTCTGTATTCTTTTAATGAGCTAAATATGAATCTGTTTTGATTTTTTAAAAAAAACTGTATTTTGACCGGGGACGCGTAGGGACGCGTAGGTTACCCAAAAAAAAAATCTTTTAAAAAATTTTTTTTTTAATTTTTTTTTATTAATACCATTTTCTGAATCTCCTTAAAAAGCTAAACATGAATCTGCTTTTATTTTTTAAAAAAAACGGTTTTTTTGACCGGGGACGCGTAGTGTTTTTGAAAAAAAAAGTGTTTTTTGAAAAAATCACTAAGTTATAAAATAGTTTAAAATATAATATTTACATATTCTGTATTCTTTTAATGAGCTAAATATGAATCCGTTTTGATTTTTTTAAAAAAACTGTATTTTGACCGGGGACGCGTAGTTTATTTTTTAAAAAAATAAATTTTTGTAAATTTTTTATAGTTACCGTATTTTTTTTAAATTAAAAAAAACATTTTCTAACTCATCTTATAAAGCTTAATAAGATTTCCTATTAATATTAATAAAAATAAGTCGTTTTGACTGGGGACGCGTAGTTTTCGGGGACGCGTATTTTAGTCATTCCCATTCAAACCTAAAAATTTACTTTATTTTAATATTTATTATATTGTGTAATTCTTATAATATTTTTAATGGGTGATCAGGCATTGCAAATAACTATTTTATGAATCCTCCTATGAATATATCTTAAACAATATAATTTAACATAAAGAATTATTTTTATTGTTTTTTTTGTCGAAAATATTGAATGTTTGTTATTTATAACACAAGAATCTATTTTATATTTTTTATTCTATATTTTAGAAATATATTGAAAATATATATATAGAAATAAAATTTGTAAGAATACAATAATATATTATAATTCTATATATATATAATTAAAATTATGTATTATATTATATTTGTAAATATATATATAGAAATAAAATTTGATATAATATAAATTATAAATTGCTTTTTATTAGGTTTTTGAAATCTTGATTGTAATGTTTTCAGGAAGCTCTATTAGATTGTATTTGGTTTCTATATATTTTTAAATTTAATATAAACATTTTAAATATAAAATTATT